TAAACTCCTAGAAAACGTCCATGAAGTAACAGCAAAGATTTTCAAGCTTGTTTATCTGCACAAGCGATTTGTTTACCCTTCAAGGTCTGTTTTAACATGTATCGGGGCATCCAATTGTGTAAGGCTATTGGAAACCAAAAAATGAAGGAATGGGATAGCTATTATTCGATAAAATCGGCAGATAAAAACACTAAAATCAATGATTTTTTTTCAGTGGCTGTGTGACCTTGTGTCTGACACATTCATATGCAAATGACTAATCTGTGAAACAAACAGGGGCTGAGACAAACCACTCAAATGTTTGGAAACACTCATTGTGTGTCAGATAGCTACTGATAACACATCCTAACATTGCTTTGTCTTGAGTTAATCTTTGAAACTTATAGGCACACAGATTAAACCTGTGTTGTTGATTTTGTAAAACACTACTGAAACTGCCTTGCTTCCCTTCAGAAATTCTACATTTTAACCAACTTACATGACATTCTATGTTACGTTGACTTTATCAGATAAAATTTTATAGTGCATTTCATCAATTAATAAATAAATAAATGTGAAAATCGTAATTTTCAACACAAATAATAGTCTCGCTACCTTAAAGTTGGAAAAAAACATTATCAAGTTCCGTGTATAAACACTAGTGTAAAGGGGCGGTGGAGCGCTATTTTAACCAAAATCGGCTAGTAAGGCGTCATATGACACAGGTATCTATTTACTGTTTTGTAACCTTTTATTCCTTTTTAAACTTTTGTAACCATTGCCAATCCCTCCGGGGAATGTGCAAGTGTTAATAAAATTATTATGATATGGATTTTTAGCCCTCATCAGTGACTGTGTGAAATCCCTGAGATTTTCAGATTATTCCCAGGCCTAAGAACTTGCCGCACGTATTAGAAATTCCAATGCTAATGAGTTGGCGCTTGTTTTACTGGACACCGACTTACCTCTACTCCCGTATAATGCTCATAAAAGAAGACAATTAGACGCTGGTAGTTTGAATACATGATATCGTCTACGGCGTGGTACCATCGTGTTGGTAACACGGCCGATACACTTCGCCATGTCCCCCATATCATCATAAAACAAGGCGATACTCCAAGCATCGTTATCGCTGGCAAGGCGAACTTCAACGCCTGCAGGTACACGATAGCTGTCAGCATTTTCGACAGTTGTGAAAAACACAATTAAATACGTGCAAAAACAGTAGAAATGCGAAGTAAACAAGCGAACCCACTTTAACACGTGCACTCGATCAACTTGCAGTGTCAAATGTCACTCGTACTGTAGGTCACTAAGAGGGCGCTAGATGGAGGGCGCCCTCTTATATACGATCAGAGGCGATCTGAAAACTTAGCAACATACTTGGACGTTTTTATAATTGGTAACCAGTTTTGTTAATATACTGAACTAATTTTACTAATAACTGCTTGCTATTTTATGGATGAGCACAGTTTTAGATGGAATAAAACGCTAAAGCAAAAAACCTGGTACAATCAACTTCAGTATTACTAATATTTGTCTTTCGTTGCGAATGGAATGGAAATTCGAATTCTCGTTCTCAGGAAATGAGAGTTAAATTGTTGTTGTATGTCCATTACGTAAATTAAATTATTCTGCACCCATAAGTTGTTTTTAAAACGGTATACATGTGCCTCCATTGAAATATCGCACTTCCAAACCCAGGCGGCACTACAGCAATAACGAGAATTTAATGCAAAGCCGAACAATACAATGCAGTACAAGCCAGTATAAGAGGCTAAATATCTGTCTTTCAAATTTTATCGATATTTTATTAGCTCCGCTGCCGACTTTGTCGAGCGGAGCTTATCATATGAGTGATTGTCCGTCGTCCGTCGTCGTCCGTGTCAATGTTTTACTTTTTCGACTTCTTCTTGAAAACTACAAGCCTGAATGCTTTGATACTTGGTGTATATGTACCTTGGGTAAACCTCTCTCAGATTTGTTCATTTCATGATCATATCTTCAATTTTCTAATTTCGGTGAATATTTTTGTCATTTTTGGTAAAAAGTGATATTTTCAACTTCTTGTTAAAAACCGCAAGTCCAATTGCTTTGATATTACATATATTGGTACTACATGTGGACCTCTCTCAGATTTGTTCATTTTGTAATGATATCTTCAATTCTCTAATTTTGGTGAATATTTTTGTCATTTTTGGGAAAAAATGATATTTTAGACTTCTTGTTAAAAACCGCAAGTCCAATTGCTTTGATATTACATATATAGGTACTACATGTGTACCTCTCTCAGATTTGTTCATTTTGTAATGATATCTTTAATTTTCTAATTTTGGTGAATATTGTTGTCATTTTTGGTAAAAAGTGATATTTTCAACTTCTTGTTAAAAACCACAATCATTTATGGTGAAAACTGATATTTTTGAATTCTTGTTGAAAACAGCAAGTCCCATTGCATTGATACTATGCATAATGCTCATTTTCTAATGATATCTTCTGTTCTTTAATTGAAATGTGCATTGCTAACAGCGGAGCTATCTCAGCCAAGAGGCTGCTTGTTAAAAGTCTTTTAGAAATCACATTTAACTGCAAGCCAGTGTCATAACATCCTTTTTTAGTCAATGTAACACAAGAAGTTTCAGTCAAAAATAGTTCGTACACTATCATTTTCAATAAGCATAAGTCCACTGAATCGATTCACAGCCAATTCGTCTCAAGCCGATTCGTCCCAATTCACATTCGTTCACGCTCGCCACATTGCCTTCGGTTAGCCGCACTATCTAGTGCAGGATGACTTCCTGATTTGGTAACAAGACAATGGTGGTGGTGCATATAAAATACAATCGAAATGCACATGTTCTTGCAACAATATTCACTGAGTTTCCCCGATATTCAGAAACAAAAAACCTTTTACCATGATTACAATTTTTCAGAACACTATAATTTTGAAATATGAATAACGTATTGTGAAGTTTGATTCAGCCTTCGGCACGCTGTCGCGTCGTATGCGCGGTGAGTTTGTTAAGATCTTGTTGCGCGTATTGGACGAGGTGGTATCGGGCTAACCAAATAGATCGGACGAAACGACTTTGGGACTGATAAACTTGAGAGACGAATGTGATTTGGGACGTTTCCACCGTCCCCCGAATCTACGCAACATATTGCGTGTTAGAATTAATAGACAATGACGTTATTTACTATAATATTTCATTAAAGGACAATGGAATATATATTTGTTGCATGTTGAAAGTAATAAAAAGATTCACGTTGTCAAAGAATCCAAAACGTATCATTATACCCAAATTCGAAAGTTAAGCTACACCAACTGTCCCCCTCTGTTTTCTCCGTTCCAATAATGCTAAGCCAATGGGGGAATACATTAAAAATAAAGTCGAAAAACAGTTTGGGAAGAGTTGCAATTTTTGCACGCCAAATATAATTGACCAATCACTACACTGCATTGAAATGTATATTGGACCAAACTGGTAAAAGTGACTAAACAGATTTCTCAAGCCCAAGGTGATATATTATGCTCTATAATGTTGAGTACCGGGATATTAGATCAAAGCCTTTTTTAGGGCAGGTGAGAACAAAACTTAAATATACAAGACCAGGTAGACAACATGAAGAGTTTTATTTGTTTTGCCAACACTTTTAAGCACACGTTACTATATTCAGATTGGTATAGTCAGGTCTACACTATGAAAAGTATTGTTCCTTTTACAATGTACAAGATTTCCTATACAACAGAAAAACATATTTATATCATGCAATACATTGGCTTCGGGATAACGACGAATAGAAAAAATAAATTTCATTTGTAGCACAAACTATGTTGACAATGTTTGCATTATATTTATTTACAAGTATTATGAATGTATTCTATTTTTTTCCCCATCAGCGATTAACATTCACAGCTACATGATTTGTAAACAGTAGTTTCCCCGTCATATTGTGATTAAAATGCACATCTATAAACATTGCCAAGCAAACCATTTCTCGCTTAGGAAGACTTCTTATTGTGGTTGAAACATTTATTCATCCAGTGATTATTGGTAATTGACTGAAGATAGCAAATTTATGTTAATACTGTTCACCAAAATATAATCCTATCAAACGTGGATATTGTATGCGGGATGGAAGTAACTACCAAAATCAAATTTTTTTTTGGTTTTAGTTGCCCGAGAAAGGTCCACCTGAGGTGCCTACATATTCAATATCAAAGCAATCATACTTTTCACCAAAAATATTCATCAAAATTAGAGAATTAATGACATCACAATATGAACAAATATAAAATGTGGTCTACCCAAAGTACATATACAAGTACCAAAGCAATCAGACTTTCATTTAGTTCATAGCAAAGCTAGATTAAAAACGGTCAAACGAATGACAAGCAACTTCAGTCCTTTTCCTTTGATGGAGGAGTCTGTATTTTACAATGTAAAGTCTGAAAACTAGGTGTGTGAGTGGTCCTTTTCATCCCACACCAGGACACAAGGCTGCAATCAGGTTCTTCCATTCCTGTCCACCATTTCTGCATTACTCCAGGTCAGGTTCGTCAGGGGTGCTCAAGCGCCCAGCATCACAGACAGTGATGTTGGGACTGACTAGCTCGTCTCTAGTGAAAACAAGGTGCATGTGATTAAAATAAGGGCTTCTACATATTGTACTTTCTGTTGACAGTTATTGCAGAATGTTAGTCTGATATGATGTCCCCAGCTTCCCGACTGTACATGGCATGCCCAGAAAATACAATGACAATGTATTCTGATAAAACATTTATTTTGACCAACTACAAGAGTTACTTGCATTTACATGTGCCATAGCACCTTAGCTAAAATAAAGGCACTCAAGAAATTGAAAACTGACTTTACCATTAGTAAGGTATACATAGTGAGTGGTGTTGGTAAACATACCAAAATAAGAAAAATATATATACAAATGCGACCACAGTAGCAATGTAATCAAGTCTGTGCAGATAATTGTTTTCAAGCAGGGTTTGTACATTGGAAATCGAAGAAATTCCAAAACTTTTTATATCAGTTTTCTAGTCATTTTCAATTTTTTTCCCCTTCAATTTAGAATTGTAGTGGTTCCTAATTACCGGTAGATAGCTAGCTTTTGACACTGATCTTACCAATGATTAAAGAGGAAGGGTTGTCACCTGCGCATGTGCGAGAATTGAGTCCCAAGCGACTATTACATGCTAAAAACGCAAAGGCTCATGGGTAGATGCTTGTTTGTAAACAATGACAAACTATGGCCATCTGACGCATGCACAGGTGACGACTCCCCCGCTTTAATTAATAGTTTTTTTATACTGATTGTACATTTTCCAGGACATCTTTCAAATTCTAGGACATTCCAGTATATTCCGGGACTGTACAAACCCTGTCTAGACTTGCACCAAAGTTCATTTTGCATTGATAGTGCAAGATAATGTACACTAAAAATTGATTTTCGTCATTAGCTTCTGTCTAATTGGTGAATTCGGTAGATCATCATCAATAATGATCAGGATTGAAAACTTTAAAACAATTACAATTCTTAAAATCATTGAGACATTTGCTGAACATGTAGTTTTCAATCAAGTATGACTATAGAGCCAATCCCACATTGTATCTGCACCCCCTGTTACTAATGATTTAGCAGATCCACCATATGTATGCACTTCAGATTTCAGTTAGTCATTCACAATACCAGAGTTGTAATTCACGATGACAGCATCTCTACACATAAATGCAGAGAGAACACTTGGTCATACACAGAAACAGAAACTAAATCAGAGGGAGTACAGATAAAAACTGAAATGGTTGGATGTATAGCACAGGACAAATACCAACTCAAGCAATACTCGGTAAATGAAATGCTCGCTAGGACCAGGCATATAAACACAACATTCTTTTGTAGTCCATGGTTCCAAATATGGCAGTGAAAAATCACTTTGTGACGGACACTACCAACTAATGCTATCTACATGGTATTCACCTTGGGCATTGAAAGAATCCTACAGTTTGTAAAACTTATATTAATACAAGATAAGATGGATTTTATTTGGCCTTCAGCAATTTTACAGGAAGTCAGATCCCGATGGTTGCATACGGGAAAAGTACAGTTGTCCAAATATGAATGACTATAGAAAAATTGAGAACAAAAACTAACCAACTCAAACCACAGAATAAATTGTTTACAATACTATATTATTTCTTGACATGAAAGCGTTTTTGTGTATTCTTGGCGTGATCAAGCAAAAGCTGACAGGGTTTGAATTGATTGCCGTACGTGGCTTGGAATTCCTCCATGACCTTCACCAAGTTATCAGCACCAAAGGTGTCTACAAATCGGAATGGACCTGCAATAGACAAAATTAGTTTAAACATGGAATAAATATATATTTAACAACGATGAAATAGAAACCTGACTGGAGTTTGTCAAGAGCTTTTCGTTGTGTGGGAATTACTGTTGAGTTTTCCCAAATAAATACATGCTTCACCTTCTGCATTGTATGATGGCTAAACCAACTAGCACGATAATTCTAATGTAAGTTCAACCCATGTTGGTTTTAAGCCATTGTTTCAAATGTACATAACAAATGTAACGTGGTTGAATATTATGACTAAGTTCGGAAATAGTAAGATATGAAAATTTTGAGTTAGGCAAAACAAAACAAAAAAAAGAAAAATCTTGCTTCTTGTCCCAGGGCAAATTTTGAAATGATGAAGTCTTATTTTTGTATTAAGATTAATTAATACCACAAAAACAAAAAGATGCATCAAAGTTTAACATTGATCAAATTCTGCTTTTGAATTCATACTCTGACAGAGAAACATTTCTCAATTCTACTACCTTTGACGAGTAAAGCAAAATTTACACCCCCAAAAAAGTGTAAAGCAAAGGTTGTAAAATGACCTGCATGATCACGAGAAGCAAAAAACCCTTTGTTTTGACCTCATTTGACCTGTGACCACAACCAGAATTTTGTCTGACGTCCAATTTATAAAATGGAAAGGATCAAATCAATGAAAACTGTTTTCTTGACCAAAGGAAAAATTGGCTTTATATTTCCATCAATTCACAATTTGGTGACTAAAAAAAGCCAAAATATTGTCCAACATTAAGAGTTTTACAAACTTCAACACTGATGTAGATGATTGTTCATTTTATTTACACAATAGCTGAAGCCAAATTATTTGATGATGACTACCATTCTAAGTCAAAACTGACAAACTTATTACATGTTAATACAAACATAACTGTACCTCCATGGAAGGGTGGAAATCCAAGACCAAACACTGCACCAATATCACCTTCAACCTAAAACAAAACAATAAAATCAACAGTTACATTTATTGATTATAAATAACATGGTTGGATTAGTCTTTTGATGAATCTCAGATTAAAAATGGTCAGTGTATAACACACAAGCAATATGGGGAAATTATAACATGTTTATTACCATAGAAACAAGCAGATATACCCCACATTGCTTATATTTTGCGAAATACTTAGTTCTTCATGAGAAGTAAAATGTCAAAACAAATATTTTCTTCATAAGCAACAAACTTTATTACCAATGTGCCTTCTAACAGAACCAATTTTGTGGAGATGCATAAGTTGAAATAAAATCCCCCTCAAAATCAAGTTGGGTCTGTTGTGTTGAATTTTGAGGCCTCTGATTTTGTTTTTTACATATATCAAGTTTATAGAGTGTGAATTTAATCGTTTCAAATTCTATGACATTTATGTATGATTTTCTGTCACATCAATGACACATCAAGATATTAGCAAAATTATCATGGCTTCAGTTATGCAATATATTGGCCCTAAACGGCACACTATTAATCTGGTAATATTAATACTTACAGGATTAGTGAGTACCCCCTCTTGTAGACAAAGAACTGCTTCATTTACAAATCTTGTCACCAATCTCAACTGGAAATCTTCATCAGCATTCCTGCCACGGGGGGCAATGTGATGCTTCTTAAATATTGCCTCGGCGCCTTCATTCACTGGACGTTCCTTGGAACCTTGCTCATACATGAATATACCCTTACCAGATTTACGACCTGTGCAAGAAATGATGTCTTCATTACTATCTTTATGCAACTTATTTTGAAAACATTGAATTTGTGTAAATTGTGTATAGTTAATGTTGCTATTTACTCATGATTGACAGACCCAAGTTCAAATCTAACTACTGATTGATGTGCTACATAACGAGAAGGGTTAAAGCCAATGGCCAAGATTCTTTTACAAACAGATGCGACTTTGGGGTAACCCTCGGCAAATTAAGTGTCTGTATTAGACCAGGGTCAGGTTGGTGCTGGGATAGCACATTAAACTACCATATTTGTAATTACATGTTTGATAAGGGATAATCATGTCATACAATCTCAAACATAATGGTTTCCATGAAAAAATGCAGCTGCACTTCCAATTTGCCTTTGAAAGTCTGAAACTGTCACCTATTTTTTTTTTTTTAAACAATATAGTACCTCAAATTGGACCACTGAAAATTTATGCATTGCATCATGGGAAAAGCAACAGAGAAGACATTTACTGTGAATTATTTTTTTCACTGAAAAGACTTTTGGAGTTTTGTATTGAGTTTATTTTCACTGATTTTTGAATGAGTTGAGTGAAAAATATAGGAAAAATGTAGATTTGCTGGATTTTACTTTCTCTGAATGATCCTTCCAGTGAAAATAAAGTATTTTACAGTACAACAAATACATGAAAAAAATTGATGACTCTGACGAATTGTATCAGAGCTTAAACTTCAAAGGCAATTACCTCTGCCGAAACCCAATGAGTTTGCCGTTGGGCCTTGAAGAACATGGATTTTCTCTTTACTGTAAAATCTACATTAGAAACCACGGCTTCTATTAAAATGGTACATTGCAACAGAATGGATGCGACTTCTATTACAACATTTACACATATGAGAAATTTTTTGTTTTTTGTTTCGCCAATAGCTTCTATTAGGGATGCGGCTCCAAATTCAAATTTTACCATACTACTGCTATATGCAAAGGCAATTTTATCAAATATGTAAATGTATGACTTCTCAAGATCAAGCTCTGCTGTATGTACTGTTATTTTGAATAACTGTCTGCCAGTCATTTGCTTCTGGACTTGTGAATTCCTGAAATGACTATGAACAAGGATAGCATTTGTGTATGTTTTTTTTTCTACTGTGTTGATGTTTATAATACCCAGTGACAATTCTACAAGCCCACTCACCTAAAAATCCAGCATCTACCATATCTATCAAGACTTCATTATTAGCACCTGAGAACCTTTCACCAAATATTTTACCAAGATCCTGTGCAACATGTGAGGCTACATCAATACCTACTTCATCTAATAATGTTGCAATTCCTACAGGAAAACCATAACTTTTAGACCATTTGTCAAGTTGCTTTGGACTCCATCCTTCCTGTCATTGAAAACAAAGTAAACGGAGAAAAACAAATCAGCCTTAGAAATTAAACAAGAATGTCACAGTCCCCATCATTTAATTATAAAATACTTATGTTAAAATAATACATGGAACATCTGCAAACAATTGAATTAATATGTACTCCATGTGGGTACAACTCACCATAAAGTGATTTCCTTTAATTTCCCTCCCTGATAACTGAAAACTTTCATTGACCAAGGTCCAAAATCTCAGAGTGCAACCAAACTATGTCTCATAAATGCTCAAGAAACTGCATTCATAAATCTGAATAAACCTTGATGTACCTTTAATCTGACCAATCTGTCACCGATTCAGATCAAGGTCATGACCAAGTCATGACCAAGTCATGACATCACTAAAAACCCTAGCATCACAATCTAAGCTAATTATTTATTCTGAGCATGCTCAATTGTTCTCTCAGTGGTGTTGGGAGAGGTAGTTTTGGATGAAAATCATGAAAAAGACCCACTTAGGATTTTCAGATCTGGAAACAAAATTACATGCATATTCAGCAGTGACTTTTTCATCAACCTGCTAAGTTTCATAGATATCTGCTGCAGAATTTCTCAGAAAACGTCACAGACAAAAACTGGAGATAAGAATGAATAGGCTGCGCCTGAAACAGAGACCAACAAACAGTGGGTCGGCTGATATAGCTCGGTTGTAAATTGAAGAGAAAGGCAACTAACCATATTCAGGACAAGTGTCACATTGTCTTACCTGGAGTATTCTAATAGTTTCCGATAACGTGGGTGCTAAGATTCTAGTTGTATAGAAACCTGGCCCGTCTTTAACAGTGATGACAACTTTGCCTTGTCTAAGTCCTACGTCAACCGCTGACGCCGCTGTATCCTTTGACGTCTTCTCCGTGGTGATAATTTCTAAAAGTTGCATTTTATCGACTGGTGAAAAATAATGCATTCCAATCACCTGTGAATGTAGAAGAAAGTGAGATATATTATTTCTGAAACTGTCATTAAAAGCAACAGTCATTATGGAAATTCTGTGTATAAAACAATGTTCTTTACATGAAATGTTCACGATTTTATGGCAAAAATTGACACTTCTAGGACTTATCAAAATTTTGTAACAGTGTAAATTTTCTGGGGTCCTTGTGAAATTAGCAAATATTTGCCTCTCAAATTAATTATTTTTTACAGTTACATCATGCCAATTCAACATGATGCATTCGAAAGAAGTTTACTGCCTGAACAAAGCCCTTGAGAAATTATTTCAACACAACTGTTATAAATACATCTGTCAATATTTACTCGTTTGTTTGTCTGAATCGAATGTCTTCATGAATAATTAACCACACGATGTCATTTCAATCAAACACTTTCAAATTACCTTTTCTGGTCTCTTGCTGACTTCTGCAATTTTAGTAATTGGTAGTGCAGATGTATTTGATGCAAAGATGCAGTGATCTGGGATAACCTGAAATCAAAACAGAAAAAGAATGAATTTCCTACTTGTATAATGAAGACAGCCTGAGACAATAGCTATAAGTTAAACTAAGTTCTTCTGTAGTGTAAGTGGGTGTAAGGGAAGCCATCTTGATCTGTAGTCCTTGCACAATAAAAAGTAATCTTTCTGAGAGATTTACTACACAGCCAAACATTATTTTTTCATTCTTTGTCACTGCTCACAAAATAAATAGACCTAATTTTTTCCCTCCAAATTTTAATCAAGACCTCCAGCCAATGGGGAACTATGTCCTCAACTATGTTGGAGAAAACTCGTAAAAACATGGAAATTGATGCAACAAAATCTTGGCAGAGTAATTATGCCACTTAAAGTGTTATGATGCTTAAGCACTCTGCCACAAGATGGTGCACTTTATAGAAAACATGGATTATAAACAGTTGTCATGATAAAATATAATTTCCTTCCAAGTAAAACGCATTTATAATACACTCTGTATTTAAAATCAGGAAAAAAACAACAGTTGCACAATTTCTTGGATACACTGATAGAGGGCGCTGTAATGCTATAAAGTTATTACATATTAATTGTAAATACACGACTTACAGCTTCAATTTCTTTCAGAACTTTATGTTTAATATTAATATCTTCAAATACAGCCTCAATCACCATATCAGCTTTATCAAAATCATCATTGTTTACTTGACAGGATAAATTAGACATGATCAGATCGCGTTCAAAACTGAAAACAATTAGAGAGATTTAATTATTTGATGGTCAATCTTCATATATTAATAGTATACAATTTTGTGGAAACAGACTTTATATGCATTCAGGGTTTTTTCTAGAAAAAAACTGCAATTCAGCGGCGCCACCAAGTGGGGGAGATAGGGTTCTCTCAGGGTGTGGAGTTTTTGATTATTCTAAATTAAAATAGAGCATTCTATGGCTTCCTTGGGGCCAAAATTAATATCAGACAGGTCACAGTTGAAGACTGTGATCCCTGGTAAATCAGAATTTTGTGGTTGCCAGAGGATCTGCTCCCCAGAGTAAGGGGCGCATGGCCATGGCATGAGGGCGCTGTGCCCCTGTTCCCTTGTTTAAAAGAATCCCTGGCATTGTATGGGACCCATATCGACCGTGACCCGAAAAACATCTCACAATCCATGCACACAGTTCAATTTACAGGTGTACCCAGTGTTGTGTTTGAGGGTTAGTGTACTGTACATGATTTATTCAATAGACATACCTTGTAAGACGCTTTCTTTTTACTTTCTTATCAAATCTATAATAAAAAAACAAAACAAAATTCAATTGCGCCAAATCTAAAACTGCATGTACTGGTTTTAGTAAACACAAAGCAAAAGATTTCAAAGCAAACATTTCTCTATATGTCTTGCACTGATTGGACAACTCTGCAATTTTTAAATTGCACAGTAGCAACATATTCACAATTCGTAATGCAGCATTCAATATGGAGACCCTTGCTTGAAAATATATTGCTTAGCATAATCAAGTGACTGTATTAGCTCTATTAGAAGCTCATCTCAAAAAGAAGTACTGTCGAATACTTTATTTTTGCTTGGAAATAATTTTTGCTGAAGGAACGAGTCAGTGAAAATAAAATCCAGCAATTATACCTTTTTCCCTATATTTTATATTCAACTTGTCAAAAATCAGTGAAAATGATTTCCATACAAACCACCCAAAATAAGTATTTTACAGTACACATACACCTGACAATAGAATTTATTATTCATAATGAGTAACTGTGATATTTAATATTCTGCACTCGAAAAAACAACAAAACGATCCTTCTCACAATATTATATATAATTATTATTAATCTTTCACCATAACACCACAAGTTACAGCGTGTCGTAATTTTGCGGTATTGCACTGGGTATTTTCATCCTACCATATTAGGAAATGCGAATTTCAAACATGGGGCATGAGCGTCCTCTAATATTAAAAACAAACATGGCACCCCATAGGGTTTGACCGGACTCCCCACAAAGAAGTTCGCTAAATCTGCGAGTCGGTCGATACTCCTGCTGTACTGTCTTTGTGCATACTTTTTGTTATCCTCTTAATAACCTCATTATCTCCAGTATTAGTCACGATACTCTGAATCATTGAAATTAAACTCATTTTGACCAGCGACACACACCTGTCATTTACCAAGGAGAATGCATTTCTAATAGTGGATATGGTATAGGAATAAATTGATCAATAGACAGTAATTTCTTACCCCTTGTATATTTGGCTCCTGCCTCGACCAACTCCTTCCAATGACATGTCTTTTAACAAGACCTGCATTTTCTTATCAATACTGACTTGAGCAATACCGGCTCCCATCAGTCCGGCACCAAGAACAGCAAGAGTCTTGACTGGTTTCTCTGGTTTGCCAAAGCTGTTCTTTTTACACTCAGTCTGTGGGTGGAAAAAAAAAAAACGATAAATAGCGTCATCTACTCAGTGCTTTAGCGAGGAAATGGGATGGATAAACTGAGGCAGTCGTAAAGATACTTTTCGATATTACAATATTTTATGCATTATTACTTGTTCAATAAAGAAAATCACTGTTTTTAACAAATACAAATTTTGCTATTTGTTAAATTATAAGTTGTTATATTGGCAATATTTTGTTTAAACTGATGACATTTTAAATAATATGTGTAGTGCAAGCAATGCAACAGCATTCTCAAGCTTTTCACATCAAAACATCACTGA